TGAATTATATGTTATTGTGACATTAACTTATTTAATTATATGTTTAATTAATACTACCTAATTTTGGAAAGAATTCAACAAGTTTGTCAAGTTTGAAAGTGCATCTTTCAATGTTCATAGTTATGTATTTTTTCTAAGAACAAATAGTATCTGGCCCATGCTAATTAACCAATTAGCCCAAATTCACAATTTCAACAGCCCAATATGAAACAAATCCCCAAAGAGCATCCCAACCCAATCAAACCAAATCTTCTTGTGGAAATTCCACCACTACCTTTTAATAAATATTTAGAATATATCATTCAACATTTTTTAAACCATGAATACTGTTTTTTATTAAGTAAAAATACAAATGTGAAAAGATTACAAAAATCAAAATGGCTACTCATTTACGTGCTAAAGTTACTCCAACAAATGTGCACTTAAATTAAGGGCCACCAAACACGCCTTAAGCTGACTAAATTAACCAAAAAATCCGTGATTATGGTGTTATTTCCTATTGTAATCAGTTTCATCCGCCCAGACTTTCTCTTCGATATTGCTCACCAAGAAAGAACCCAAAACCTAAACACTAAATTGGTCATTCACAGATCTCCCACAAAAGTATATTCGACGCCAGTTCATACAAATCTAAAAATTGATTCCCATTTTCCATTATTTCAATCTTACCGCTAGTATAAATCTCCTCTCAGAGGCGTACCACCACCACCACCCGACCACAATTCGCCTTTTTTCCCTGAAAATTCTACCATGGATGTGGAACAGACTCCACTTGTAGTGGTTCAGGGTCTATCAAAACACAGGGAGTAGGCGATTCATACAATACCTATGAGATTATCGAACCCAAGGCTGAACTCGTTAACACCCCATCTCGACGCATTACCCGTTCCATTAACACATCCTCAAAATCAAAAGTCTTAGGCAGCAATCCACCACTTGCCAAAGTCGTGTACCCAGATTCCAATTCTATGGGGGAGAAGAACCACATGGAGGACAAAGATAAGAGGGCAATTGAAGATGCAGCTGCATTTCGAACGACAAAAAGATAAAGTTTGTGATCCAACACAATCCACATGTTATTATTTTGGTTATGCAACACTTTTTTGGTCCCCTTATGTTAGATGTGTAACATGTAATTCATAATGCAACAGTTATAGTGATTATACAACCAGGTTTTGTGTGGAAATTGTAAATATTACGCCCCCTTTGGCAATGTGAATGCATCTATTTTTCTTTTAATCCCGATAGAATATGTACAGCCAGCCGAAAGCTGATTTATTAAGTTGTAAACAACAGTCAACTTTTGTCAACTACATTTTCGGTGGAACTGTTTGAATTGTGTTTGAATTGTGGTATATTCTGGACTTGGCCGATTGAATCTATCTAGCTAGATTGAAGCTAATTTACTAAGTTTTTAAACAACGGTGACCTTTTTGTAAGCTGCATTTTTGGTGGAATTTGTTTGAATTGTGGTATATTCTAGACATGGTCGATTGAATGTGTCTAACCAGACGGATCAGTAATGCATATGTTGTGACTCGTGGATCCCTACACTTCAACTCCAAGTAGAATTGCAGGGAATTGTCATTTGTTATTCGGATTGGAGACATTTCCACATCTACAGAATACCCAATCTCGATGCATGAATGTCACATATCAACCTTGAGCTCATTCGCTATCATATCAACAAAACCAACGTAATTGCAACCAAAGGGAACCAGGAGACCAAAAGTATCTACACCATTCACTACAAATACATTTACTGTGTCCATTCCTGTACAAAAGGAAAAATAAATGAATTTGGATAAATCTAAGTGCTTTAGAAAGGAACTTGAACACATTTCGATGAAACTCCCTTCAAATTCATCTTGTAAAAGGATCAAATGCCAAACTTTTTTTTCTTTTTTCAAACACAACTTGAACACATTTCTGATTGCATGCACACACATAAACCTAATGTTGATATAGGTTGAATTACCTAGAGATTAGCATATGTGGTAAACATATCAGAGTTTCCTGGATGCATTTTATAGTTACTGTATATATTTAATTGTGGTGACTACAATCCTTTCCATTGTTGACATTTTCATAATATCACATATTCTACTTTGTGAATTTCACACACAGTAACATATGGTGATTCACATTATCACCAGCCGGAAAATGTATTTTCAGACATCGCAAGAGCAAAAAATATTCACATATTGCTCCACAAGCAACGAGACATCGGACGTTGAATTACGAATGGGGGTAGTAATTATCATAATGCAAATGTGAAGAAACCCAATACATATTACATATACTTGAAGATCAGATTATAGGCAGCGATTCTTACCTTCTTATTTCAAAATTGTAATGTGGACAGAAGCCTTCCGCCGAGATCTGGGACGTTGAGGAAAATGCCTGCGCCTGTGAGCTTTCTACAAAATGGGTTTTGATTGTGATATGTCATGGTCGGTTTCCTGAAATCATTCTTCAATTTAGGAAAAGATACTAATGCTACACGTGAAATTAGGAATAATTCAAAGGGAACGGTTACAAAATGGCTGGATGGGATTACTTTTAGAAAGCATTATTTATAATAGACATAAAATATACATCATCATTATTTTTTTATTTTATTAATGTTACAGAATAGTTTAGAAAATATTTTGGAGGAAATTACATAAAATCAGGTATTAAAACTTTCAAATTCAAAATTAGAGGATGAAGTATGCAAAAATCTGGTATTATATATAATTAACACATCCAATTCAATTAAAACCCTAATCATTTCCCCCCAAATTCTTCCCTTATCATATCCCGTCTCTCTCTCTCTCTCTCTCTCTCTCTCTCTCTCTACCTTATCCTTCGACTTTCATTGCCGTCAAGGAGTGACCGCCACCGGAGACACCTCCGACTCTGAGTGTCGACACAAGACCATCAGAATTCAGGCCATTTTTAAATTGTAATAATCTATTATCACTCTAACTCTCCATCTTCTCTTCATCTTCCTATCCATATCTTCCTCGTGATGCAGATCTACCAACTTCGACGAGCTGTGGTGGTGAAATGAATAGGCTATGATGGTTGTTGAATTTGGTGGTAGTGATGTGATTTTTTGACATGTTTAGTTGCGTTTTTGAGGTGGTGGCGGCGGGTTTGTGGATTCTTTAGTGGGGTGGTGGTTAGGTGTAGTGTAAGTGGAGATAAAGGAAATGGTGGTGGTGTGCTGTGGGTGGTGCGTTGTGCAATGGTGGTGGCCGTGGTTGTTGCGATGATGATGACGGTAACGGGTGGAGTATCTATGACCAATAATTAGGTGTCCGTGATTAACTATTTAGGGATCTGTGACCAACTGTTTAGCTGATTTATGACTAAATATTAGGTGTCTGACTAAAAAATAATTTGTGACCTGTAATTTGAATGACCTGTGACCTCAAAATAATGTGACCTACAAAACTTTTGATTTGTGACCACGAAATAATATGTGACCAATTAATTTGATGATATGTGATTAATAAATAAATCATGACTATTAATCATGTAACTGTGACTTTATTATCTTTATTTAATAAATATTTTTAATTAATTAAATGCTACTTGATTTTTGAATTTTCAAACTATTTAATTGATTTTTGAATTGGGATAAACATAATTCCTGAGATGTGATTTTTTTTTTCCCTATTTTAATAGCATGATGCATATGCAAAATTTTACCAGTCTTCTTCTTTAGTCTATTCCAGATGTCTAGCCCATAGAAAATGACTCGAACATTAACCCATCAACATCACTATCAAATCAAGGCCATGAAGCACAAATCATGAAAGAAGACCAAAGTCGCTAAAACTCTTTCGCTACTTTACAATGCAAAATCAAAACGGTATTGATATTAGGATTAAGCCCCTGTTTGGTTCAATTAAAAAATCAAATTAAAATTTAAGTCAAAATTAACAATTAATTTTAATCACACATTAACCTGTCTCACAGCTTTTCAACCAAGCATTTGATCAACTTTTATCAAAGTTTACTTAAAATCTAATTTTTATCTAAACCACACATGATCTAAGTATATAAAATTTAATCACTTGCATTCTATTCTATCTTAAGGGTGTGTTTAATTTCATTTTAGTCATTAGAATTACGTGGCATCCAATCAAATAATCGAGTTCCATTCTCTAAAGAATTGAGAAAAGTTCTCGCGATTTTTTTTCTTTTTTTTTAACGATCATAGTTGGCATCATCAAAATTACGATATCAAAATTCTAGAACTAATGGTACGGTCACAAGAAGGCTTCAAATACATGGAAATTCCGTTTTAAGAAAAAAGGAAAAGGAGAAGACACAAAATTGAGAGTCAAGAATTGGGTGTATTTTTTCACTCAATTATCTAACTCTTCTTTTAAGTTAAGTCTTTTCAAAGAATCAAAATAATTCAAAAATTTATCAATATGTAATTATAAGTACTCTTTTCTTATAAGGGAAAATCGTGTGTACGAAGTAATAACACATCAAATTTTGAAACAATTTAGGAAGAAAATATCAATTGATATTTGGTATCTTTATTTTGTCTAAACTTCTCTCAACATTCGGATTTCTTTTCTAGACTTGTAATGAAATTAAGGTTCCATTTGACGGGTTTTTGAAACTGTTTCCAAAACTAAAATGTTACTTTTAAACATGTTTGAATAATTTTCTTAAAAAATTTTGTTCGACTAAAAAAACTTTCACAGGTAATTAGTCTCAAGTAATTTTCTTGGAAAGCTCTTATATAAAAGTAGAAATCCAGCCAAACAAGTCGTTAAATATTGATTTCCTTTCTTTATCTTGTGATCATCCACGTGTTATGTGTGTCATTCATCCATTGGATTCTACAACAAAAGTTATTTATAATATTAAAAGACAACAAAAAATTATGCAAGCGTGAAAAAGATGGTCAAAAGAAATAACGCGTAAACTCGTAAATAATTGTCGTATCTTGCAATTTGGTTACCTTCCGCTTTTAGATTTCTCCTCCTCAGCCTCTTAGGCGGCGTCGCCGCCCCTCGTTAACCTCATCCATTCCCCACACGTAACACATCACCGATAGCGTACGCGTCTTTCTCTCGATATCTATATATACACGCACCATCTCTTTCGTCATTTTCATCTTCGATCTTTCATCACATTTCAACCTTCGATTTCTTGGATCTTTATTACCTCAAAACATTATTCATTCTGTTCTGTAGTATCATCAAAATGAGTAACTACAACCAGTCTCAAGGTACATATATACGTCTGTGTCTAATTCTTGTTTCTTTTTCAGTTTGCCCTTCATGAATTATTGAGGGTTCTTTGTTTTAACATTGTATTGTCCATCTCCATCTCCAGCAGGCACTGCATATCCAGTTGAAGGCAAACCAGATACACAAGCCCATTCCACGGCGCCACCGCCGGCTGGTTATCCGGTGAAAGATGAGCAGGATAAGGCCACGGATTATACCGCTGCCAAGAAAACTCAGTCTCGGGGTGATGGCTTTTGGAGGGGATGGTGAGTCGTCTTTCTATCTACCTCGTTACAAATCTCACACGCCCTGATCTCAAAATCCATTAACAGTCAAGCATGTTTGTATAGAACCCACAAATTTAATCCACATATTCTGTAGGATTCACCGTTTATTTATATAAACCGTGAAATAATTTTCACTTATTGACATCAAATATGATATACTGATTTTGTTTGTTTTGGCAGTTGTGCTGCCTTGTGTTGCTGCTGTGCGTTGGATGCTTGTTTCTGAGGAGGCTATGGAGTTGGATCACATTCATAGATCATAATTAAAATGTTTAAGTTTCATGTATATATTTATTATCTGGATTGATTGATTTGGGAATATTCGTGACTTCTTATTATGCTGTGTAATAAAATTTCTCGTATTGATTTTATTATTGTTTTTGTTCAAATGTAATTCTTGATTATACAGAGATAGTAGGTTATCTGTTCGTGCTGATATTGAGCTCCCGTTTGCCCCCCTTTAAATTTCATTACATTACATTTTATTTTTCTATATCCCATTTTCAACAATACAAACTTCCATGTAAATTGAAAACTTTTTCTACTTTTTCAACCACTTACTTTTCAAAAAAACACTATTCCACCAATTTTCATTTCTAGAAAATGAGGGCGAAACGGGAGTTGGATGTTGTGCCCCCTTAATTTCAAAAAGTGTATTATAGAATAGTGATTGATGTTAATGTGTGATTAAAAAAGAAGGAAAAAATTTTATTTTATGTGTAATATTATTTTAATAAAAAATGTATGATTAAAAATGAGTAACATTGGTTTATCTTCCTCTTAAGGACAGTCACACGACATTCTTAAAATTAGCTCACTATCCAGAAACAGAAAAGTTTCTCAATAATGTCCCGTTTTCAATATTCAGGAAGCGTCCATCGTGTTCATATTCGGAATATTCACATAAAAATAAAGTTAAATAGAGTCGTATAAGTATCTTGTATTCCCCAAGTTTTGATCTTTCTAATATGCCAAAACAATGGTTATTGGATCAATTCAACCACGATTCAATTAGACAAACTACATAAACAATTGTAAGACCCAAATACTACGTCATAATCCCATTAGTCTTTGTTTGATCCTCATCTCGGTGATCTTGTCCCGAAGTGGAAGATTAAAATCTAGAAAAATTTTGATTTTCTAATCAATTAGGGACTATTTGATAGAGGTGGGAATTCCACGGAAAATAATTCCATTTTCCAATTTGACCATGTTTGATGCTAATTTTTTTCCATGGAATTGGTTGTCCAACCGCCCTTGCCACATCAGTATTTTCCTTTTTTTTATTCTTTAAGAGATTGAAGACATTGATTTTGTGAGCAAAATAGATTCATTATAGAGATGGCATCTCAACTTGAATAAAAACGAGATTCTTATTATTCAACAATAAAAATCTCCACCACTCTTTTTTAATGAGGAAAATGAATACCCTGTTTTTCTCGTAGTTCAAGGCTACAAAAAAATTACTTAAAGTCTTGTATCATTAAAGGAAAAGACGACTCAGAAAATCAATTAACCTACCCAAATTATTCTGCAAGGAGGTAGGTAAAGGTTATATCAAATTAGTCCGCAGAAGATATTCCTAAATATCTATGATTTGATAAGGGAGCCAATAAAGGAAATCTTGGATACCTTCCTTTCCTAGTAAAGTCACAAAGATAATAGGAGCTATTATTATTTGCTTAGTCCATTACTACGTTTTGACGCACACATCAATTAACTGAAAACGGAGTTCACTGGTTAATTTGAATGTATCCATGAACATATTAAGACTGTGTTTGAGCCAAATTAATTTTGAAGAATATATTTTAGAATAGTAGATTGATGAAGAATACGTGGTTAAAAAATAAGGAAAATTTTTAGATTTGCGTGTAATATTATTTTATTCAAGAATATGTGGTTGAAATGATGTCAAATCACTGTTTAAGAATGTATTTTTTCAAAATAATGGAACTCAAACAGGGCCTAAGTATTAGAGCTCTGCTGGAGCCCTGTCCGTCTAGGGCGCCTGCCAATTAGCCGCCTTGTTTGGACAGAGCCAACGTGGCCCTATCCAAGAAGATTTTTCCTAAGTATTAACTCAACTAGACCTTCACAAATCAACGTAAGCTTCGTCATGTGCATTTATTCCACACCAAGACATTAAAAAAATTAAGAATGCTTATAAGGATTAATATAAAATATGGATTACACATTTTTCTCAGTACAAAGTCTACGAACTTCCCTACCCGCACACACACAACCACCAACGTTCCTCGGCCTCATCAATTATATCCATTAAATGTTCGGTCAATATTGCATCCACTGCCGAACCCGTCAAGTGCCACCAATGTCAACTTTACAAATGTGACTCAAGTTTTTAAAAGAGCCAATATTATGTTAAATTCACTTTCTTACTGAAATAAAAATGTTAGGTTTTTGATATCCAATAAATCTCGAGTTATAATGTTAATGTAGATTAATATTATTTCATAAACATAGGCCGATGAATGAAATAAATCCAACAATCAAGTCCATGAACTACACCCAACCCAATTGTATTCCCTTATGGATGGTTTGAATCTTGGCCTGTTTACCCCTTTAACGGTCCAACTTAAAGCCTAACCCTAGAGTATATATATGGCTATACACCCTAGCCACTTTCTTATGATGTATTGTGTGATTTTGAGAGAAGAAAGAGAGAATTCCGGCTGCCCCCTTTGTGTGAGGAAAAAGGTCTCCAGAAGTGTCTAGAACGCTTGTATAACGTGTGCAATTGGTGGTTCATTCATACCTTTGTGGTGTCTTCTCCTAGCCTTTTTGGCCACAAATCATCATCCTTTTCTTATCCTACGTGAGTAAGATTGAACAGCAATCAAGGTGAATCAATTGGTTGTGGTTTGGAGTCGATTGGACTGGTTGTTGGTTGAGAAAGGTGCCCGTTGGATTGAGCCCGAAAATCACCGATTTGAAGATTTTTCAAGAAAGCTTCCGCAAGAATTGGTATTAGAGCTTCAAGGTGGTGGTTTTAGCTCATGAAACATACCAAAAAGGTCCAAAAATCGCAGCAGAAATCGGATCGAAGAAGCTATCCAAAAATTGTCAAAATCAGTCTCCGTTTTTCACATGTTCTGATCAATCCAAAAGGAGTTTGAGGAAACGGAGACCACTGACGTGACATGCAGGAAGAGGCGCACCCTGCAGGAAGGCGCGTGATGGTCAATTCTGACACGTGTGGCCCACGCACAGAGAGAAGGAGACACGCGTGAGGGCGCATAAGCGGGAATTTCGAGGAGGTCCCTTCAGACAGTTTGTTCCTCATATTATTTTTGACATTTTTCATGTTGAAAGTTTTCTATTTCAAGGTACACAGTAGAATCTGGACAGCGTTGTTCTTCGTGCGTTCGGGATTTGATCGTGATTTTTTGGTTGCAGCAGTTTTCAGAGACTTTAGGATGAATAGTGGTAGTCCTAAAGTGGTGAATTCACATGTCTCGATATCTACGGACCTTCAGACATGGTTCACTCGATATCGTATTTTTTGCTTTTTATTATTGCAGTTAAAATTAATGTGTATGTTAATTATTTATTTTTCGTATTAAAAGTCATCGCATGGGGTAACATTAGGTTTGGGGTAACCATTGCTTGTTGCTAGACCTAGAAATTACATGTTAATTACCTTAAATTCTATGTGAATTTGTCACCAATTTTTCTACACCGATAGAATTGCATGTGACCTTAGGAAAATTTACTTGACCGTTCTGTGTGAATTATGTGTCAGTACTTTGCTTGTGGTAAAATTTGGGCATAGTTGAAAGAAATTGTTGTAGAATGATAATAAAAGGAAAGATGAGGATAGAGACAAGACGAATGTGACTTTAGGGTCAAGTAGTGGTCCTAGTGAGGTTTATTGAGAGAATAAACGTGGTTCTTACATTGCATTTGTGTATAATCCTTTCTACATGTATGTGGTCACATAATTTTATTGCAATATTGATGTTACACTTTCAACTTGTTTGATGTGTGTAATTGCATGAATTGAGGGTGATCTTATTACTTTGTGTAATATGTTTACATGCATAGTGGACTAAGTTTTGTGGCGTACTCCATTTGCTCTGTGAGTGGTGTGAGAGTGTGGTAGTGAGAAGAAAGTTGGGCAGCCGTTTCTCTCCTTTATCTTTGTGAGCCTGTGTGGTTTGGAGATTATGTGAGGCAGTCACGTTAAGGTTACCTTCTTTATCTTTGTGAGCCTCGTTTGTGAGTGTTGTGAAGTAACCGACTCTTTCTTCGATTTTTCTTTGTGAGTACCACCTTCGCCATTTTCTTTGTGGATTTTTTAGAGCTTTGGTAATTGGGGTAACCTTTGTGGTCACTGAAAGGTGTTGATTTGCCATAGTGAGTTTGAGATGCATTAGCAGTGTGTTGTGTGCCTTTTGGTAAGGTAGAGTATAGATGTCTAGGGGTACATGGTGGTTTGTACCGGGGATGTGGAGTGTGACATTTGGATCACGAGTGGAGATGTGATCAAATGTCTAAAATCCTTTATCTGGAAAGAGACCCTGATCAGGTGGAGTGTGAGAGATGCACTTCTATCACTTCTGTTAGGTGGAGATCCATTATCCACATAGGTTGGGAGAAGTGATGTAGAGATAGAGAATTATCCCATAGACTTAGGATCTATTGTGACTTGCCAATTAGACGTGAGTTGAGTGATCTGTCTAGTGAGCTTGGTGAGCGATGAGAGGAGATATGTGTTCTCGAGGTGTGAGCAACACGGAATAGGATATGATAAGTGTGGTGAGATCTTTTCTTAGGGTTATTTATGCATGTGTTGCATGTGGTTAACCATAGTTTAATTGACTTAGTGTTAATCTATGCTTCTATGTGAATGTGTTTTTGAAAAGAACTGTGTGTGTTATCCTATAGTATATCGTCATCGGACGTATATTTGCTCTTAATTGTTTACTGTTAAATATTTGCTTCTACTTAGGTGTTTTTGACCTTAACCCCAGTAAGTACATGGAGCAGGTATGATATGTGTTTCAAGTTGGAAACACAAGGTAAGGTCTGTGATCCAATTTTATTGGCTACCTTGATTATGCAAGTGCTAACTGTGTGTTTTGATTAGGCATCAAGGTGGAGATTTGTTGGGTTTTTGATACCCAATAAATCCCGAACTATGATGTTAACATGGGTTAACATTATTCCATATGCGTAGGCCGATGAATGAAATAAGTTCAACAACCAAGTCCATTAACTACACCCGATCCAATTGTATTCCCTTATGGATGGCTTGAATCTGGGCCCGTTTACCCCTTTAATGATCTAACTTAAAGCCTAACACTAGAGTATATATATGGCTATAACCCTAGCCACTTTCTTATAATGTATTGTGTGATTTTGAGAGAAGAAAAAGAGAATCCCGGCTGCCCCCTTTGTGTGAGAAAAAAAGTCTCT